AGCTATTTTTTTTCTCCACTTGAATGTAGAATATAAAATCCACAGAACAAAGATTTGATCTGCTTATTCACAGCTGTGTCTTTTAAGGTGTGGAACAGTATCTAGCCCATAATTTGTGCTCAGGCAGTAAATGGCGTGAATAAATCAAGGGAGTAGTAGGGTAGATGGTCTGGGAGGACAATGGATTAAAGTGTATTGAGACATATGGAATCTCTACGTTCAGCTGGCCCAGCTATTCCACTGCTAGGAACATACCCTGAGGAGAACAGAACTGTGACACAAATGGAGATTTTTATACTGATGCTCACAGCAGCATTATTTCCAATTGTACAAACATGGAAATAGCTCAAATGTTCATAAATAAATGACTGGATTGGGAAATTGTGGTACATTTATATGATGGAATACTATGTAGCAATCAGGAGCAATAATTTAAAAAAATACTTTATATCATGGGAGGGGCTAGAGAGCATTATGCTGAGTGCTCATGAGACTCAGTCTCATAAGGACAAATACTGGATAAGACCATTATTGTAAAAACAGAGGATAACTAATAAATGTGTATGGATCTCCAAAGAGGGAAAGGAAGAGGGCAGGGGGCTGAGGGAGGGGAGGGGGCCATCACGTGTTTGCAGAGTTTGGTGGATGGAGGGAAGAAACGAAGGAATTAGTAAAGATCTAGTGGGGATCTAAAAAGATGAGGTAATAGTGGGCATAGATCAAGGATGATTCATTTTGTAAGACAATTTATGGGAATGATCGTAAGAAACAATGTGAATGGAAACAACAAAAGGTGTACAGGGAGAACTTTCAAGGTGTTAGTCTTGGTTTCACATGGAGGGATTTTAGTTGAACATGTGACCTTACTCATACTATTTCAAAGTTAGAAGGAGAGAATTATCTGACTGGTAAACTAAGGTGGAGGACTTTCTCATCCCATCCTCTTTGCTCAATTTTTTTGATATTGGTTCTGCATACTGTCATAGATACCACATTCCAATCTTCTCATATATACGGATGAATCAAAAATTCAAAGAGTCATGTCCACATTCCAATGTATATATAAATTCAAAGAGTCATGTTCAAAAGCAGATGGGAGCCCAGAAAATGGGCACTTCATCTAACTTAGGACCATCAAAAGAGGGTGTCTAGAGGACTCGCAGTTTAAGCTGTGTCTTGTCTTCAAGAATCATCAGACTTTGGCAGTTGAAATACTGAGGCAGCATACATCTGCCCTTCGTGTTTATAACCTCTGGTGACATTTCTTTGGTCTTTCCACATATCAGTTCTTGTTATGGACCATCAAGTCAGAAACAACTCAGAACTGACCCTCTGGTGGGTTTTCAGAGGCTGTAAATTGCATATGAGGAGATTGCCCATCTTTCTCGTGTGGAGCAGCTGGTGAATTAGAACTGTGTGCTTTTGGGCTGGCAGCTTACTAGGCCACCAGAGTTCCATCCACATAAAAGGGTCATTTATTGTTGTTGTGAGGTGCCATCGAGTCCAGTATGACTCATAGTGACCCCATGAACAATAGATCTGAACCCTGAAGACAGCACAGGGTTCGGAGGATAGGACAGAATTCAGATCTGTTGATCATTTACTAGTAACATTTATTTAAAGATCTATTATTATTTTTTAAATTTATTTTTATTTTTTAAGGTTTTTATTATTATTTTAAAAAATTCATTTTATTATTTTTTTGTGTGTGTACCATCAAATCGGATCTGACTGGTACAGAAGGAAATTGTCCCTCCTTCTCCAGCAGAGCATCTGGTGTATTCAAACTGCTCACTTCTGGGATTGTAGTGCAGCTTCTTGCCACTGGGCCACCAGAGCTTCCTTAAATATTATTTGGCAAGTATGATGTTAAATATTTAAAGTGGCTAAGTAAGGCCTAATGGGGAAGGTGTCAAGAAAGATAAGTGCAGGAAAATGCTACCAATACCAATAGAAGTCTGTACTGGGGCCACAAAGAGAGTGGACAGGGAAGGGTCATAAAAAGTTTCCTTAGAGTTGGCAAAGAAGAGTTATTTAAATATGACTTAATATTAGCTATCTGGAGGGAATTCCAGTTAAAGGGGACATTATGTGCAAAGACACTTAGAAGTAAACAAACAACTTGTTTGTGGATGGAATCACCATCAGCTTGACAAGGTCGATGCACAGTGGGAGCGAGTGGAGAAGCTGGCAGGGGCCAGATTCTGCAGAGTTCTCTTATCGTTTTACAATCAGGACTCTATTCTGGGGAGCGTCTCAAGGGACATAACCAGGTGAGCGTCAGGTTCATGTGTGTGTGAGTGCGTGTATACGGTTTCTTAGCACTAGGCCACCAGAGCTCAGATCTGATATTTTCTGAGCTCTGGTGGTAAGAAATCATGCTAGAATCCCAAAGGCCTGCAGTCGAATCCACCAGCTGCCCCTGGGGAGAAGGAAGTGCGATATCCTCCCGTGGGATTTACTGTCTCTGAAAATCCACTGGAGAGTCAGCTCTGACTCGGTTCCAACTTGGTGGCACACAGTAACAACATCGTATATATTCCGGTGGCTGCGTGCTGGCTGAATTAGAGGGAGAAGATGATTGAAGCAATGTGCTAAACTGGAAGGCTGCTGTTTCATTGAATCGGATGAGAGGTGAAGACCTGAGCTAAGGTAGTGTTCGTAGGGTTTGAGAAAGGGGAACGTTTAGGGGTAGAACGGCCACATCTGGTGACGAGTTGGATAAGGGAGAAGGAGGTGCCTGTGTGTTCTGACCTTAATACTCAGAGTGAAGAGTGAAAGGTGGCCCTGTTAATTAGATGAGGAGCCTGGAGGAGGGGCGAGTGGGTGTGTTAGAAGGTAAGGAAACACGTAGGACATGTAGGAAGCGGCTGAGGCCATAGTGTTTTCCCGGAACAGGTGTCACAGATTGACCCCGAGATGCTTGTTTAAAGGCTTCCAGCCTTGTGGGAACCTCGTCTCCCACCTGGTCAGGGAAGTACCTGTATTGCGCAGGAAACTGCCACCTCAGCAGAAGGAGGCCTAGCAGGGCGCTGAGCCCCAACACCAGAAGCAGAGCGGTCACCAAGGAGATCCAGGCTATGGAGCAAAAACCGGTCAGACCTTGGCCTGAGCCCCAACCCTAGGCCCGCCAGACCCCTGACTCAGCTCGCCCCTCAGGGGAGCCCCCGCCACCGTGCAGCCCCAGGTGGCTTTTCAGGGAATCCCTCACCTGTCTCCGAGGCAGTCTCCACCCTCACCAGGCCAGACCAGGCACTCCAGGGGCCTTGGTAGGTGGGGCCATTCAACCTGGCGCGCAGCTGTAACCGGTAGCGAGATCTCGGGCGTAGTTCCAAAGTTTCACCTTGGGCCCCTAGAGAGGATTCCAGTACCTGAGCAGACAAGTGTGTAGGTGGTCAGGCACCAGATGATGGTGGGCGGGCGTGGGGCATGCCAGAGCCTGGCTTGTTGCACCAAAATCCTACATCTCTGAATTCGCTGCATATTGGGGAATCCCTGCAAAGAGGAGTTGCCAAGGATTTCCTTTTATTTGGGCCCACAAACAGTAACCATGGAGACAGAATTGGAAAAAACATCAGACTAACATCATTTACACATGGGAAAAACTGCTGCAAAAGACCTCTTTAAAGTGTTAAAATGCAAAGATGCCACCTTGGGGACTAAGGTGCTCCTGACCCAAGCCATGGTATTGTGTTTTTTTTGTGCTTTTTAAAAATTTATTTGCTACATATGTGTGAGAGAGCTGGCTAATGAACGAGGAAGACCATAGCAGAATTGATGCATTTGAATTACGGTGGTTGTGAAGAATGTTGACTATACCATGGACTGCTGGAAGAGGAAGGATGGCAGGATTGTCTCAGATATTTTGGACATGTTATCAGGAAGGACCAGTCCCTGGAGAAGGACATCACACTTGGTAGGGAGTCAGTGAAAAAGAGGAAGCCATTCAGGGAGAGGGACTGACACAGTGCCCGCAAAAATGGGCTCAAACATGGTAACGATTGTGAGGATGACTCTGGACCAGGCAGCATTTCACTCTGTTGTCCACAGGGTCTCTATGAGTGGGAACTGACTTAACAGCATGTATCGACAGCACAAAGATCCTCAGCGACAGAAGCATGCATCCCACAGAAGCAGAGGCCTTGCTCTACTCTGAGCACTCCAACCTGAGAGAAACATATTTAACCTGACAGAAACACGCCGGGCTACACACCCCGACACAAAGACTTCATGCTCATGGAGAATGATTTACTCATCCTGGCACAGATTCATATAGTACACCCTCAGCAGAGATCCTGCTACAGATACACTCTGACAGGGAGAACAAGAGTTCCTGAGGAAGACACTTTCACCAGAACTCCCGGCACTCAAACCACAAAGGACATGCCAACACTAATTTGGCGCTGACAGCATGATGGCACATTCCAAGCAGAGAGAGAGCAAGCACTGAGTGTATAAGCAAGGAGATGGATTTAGTAACATCATCATTTTGCAAACATGGGCTGCATATGATATGCTATGGATTGGATTAGGCTCTGGGAGGAGGGAAGAAATAAAACATGGTCCTCCATGTCTACTGAGAGAGAGAGAGACAAGCAAAGGAATGATTGCTATAATTACTGCCATTATAACTGTGAGTTAAAAGCAAGGCCCCATGAAAGTACAAAGAAGAGAGCATTTAATGCTGTTTGAGTTGCTTGGCTCGGGCTTGTCGCAAGCATTTCAGTGTGCTGGGAGTAGAGAGCATAGGTGGATGGGGAAATCAAAGCAGTCATACCAGAGATTTGAAGACTGCTGGTATAATAAACTCAGTTTACTTGTGGGTAAGTAGGAGGAAAGGGAAGAAGAGTGAAAAATAATTTCAGACTTACTTTGGTTAACTGGTCATACCATTGCCAGCAACGTGAAACAGAAGTAGATTTGAAGAATGGTGTCACTCTTATTCGATGTCCAGCTCTGAGATGCACAGCAAGCAATTGAAAAAACCATGGCCTGAATCAAGCACAACTTAATCCTCAAACTAACATCATTGTTCCTCAGTAATTTGGAGAAGTCCATGATAACTGCCTATATATATACATACCTGTCCAAATTAATCAAGTGTGCATATATTTATATTTCAATAAAAAGTAAAATTGGAGGAAGTAGGTGAGTTCCATTTTTAATACATTGAGTCTGAGACACCTAAGCAACTTTTAAGTAAGCTATCTAATAAGACATTTGACTGTGTGGATCATAACAAACTGTGGCTGACTCTGAGAAGAATGGGAATCCCAGAACATTTAATCGTGCTAATGTGAAACCTATACTTGGACCAAGAGGCAGTCATCAGAACAGAGCAGGGTTCAAACTTGGATGGTTCAAAATTGGAAAGGGTGTACGCCAGGGATGTGTCCTATCTCCATACCTTTTCAACCTGTATGCAGAGCAGATTATCCGAGAGGCTGGGCTCTATGAGAAGAAGCGTGGCATTAGGATTGGTGGAAGATCTATCAACAATCTGCGTTATGCAGATGACACAACCCTGCTTGCTGAAACTGAGGAGGACCTCATGAACTTACTGCAGAGGGTCAAGGACTGCAGCCTTCAGTATGGACTGAGGCTCAATGTCAAGAAGACAAAGATTCTCACCACTGGACCAATCAGTAGCATCAGGATGGATGGCTAAGAGATTGAGATTGTTCACAGCTTCAGTTTGCTCGGCTCCATGGTCAACAACACTCTTGGCACCAGCAGCCAGAAAATAAAAAAATATATTGCGATGGGAAAGTCTGCTGTTAGGGACCTCTCTAAAGTACTCAAGAGCAACGGTGTCTCTCTGGAGACTAAGGTGCGCCTGATACAGGCCATGGTCTTTGCAATAACTTGTTATGCATCAGAGAGTTGGACAATGACTAGGGAGGATAGAAAGAGAATTGATGCTTTTGAGCTGTGGTGCTGGAGAAGAGTATTGAATGTACCATGGACTGCCAAGAAAACAAAGAGATTCATCCTGGAGAGGGTTAAACCAGGCTACTCCTTGGAGGCAAGGATTCTGGGGCTTTGTCTGACATACTTTGGACATGTTGTAAGGATAGACAGGTCCTTGGAGAGGGACATCATGCTTGGTAGGGTGGAGGGACAGCGCAGGAGGCGAAGACCCTCTATGAGGTGGATTGATTCAGTGACTGGGGTAATCGGAATGGGTGTGTCAGAGGCAATGCGATTGGCACAGGATAGAGCAGGGTTTAGGGATGTTGTACATAGGGTCACTATGAGTCGCAAATGACTCGATGGCACATAACAACAACAACAACATCTAATAAGATGTTGTATATTTGTGTGACAAATGAGAATAAAAGAAGAGAAAGAAATGAGTCTTTTACTAGTGTTTATTTTTGTTATGTACTATCAAGTTGCAGCTGACCCATAGCTAATTCTTTGGTGGGTTTACAGAGGCAATAAATTGCAAGGAAGATTTCCTACCTTTCTCCTGTGGAGCAGCTGATAGATTCAAACTGCATGCCTTTGGATTGGCAGTGTAACTTCTTAACCACGAGGCGACCAGAGCTACCTAGTATTTATTGAACATCTGCTATATGTCCGCCAGTATGCTAGGGATTTATAGATTTTATTTTCATTATAACTCTGTACTATTGTTGTTGACTTGATGGTACTTAACAACAAACAATAACTCTGTAGATAGTTTTATGCTCATTTCATAAGAGAGGAAATGGAGACTTCATAAGTTTATGTAATTTGCTTATAGTATATAAGATACTTTCCATAAAGAAAATGGAACGGTAAATCTGAGATCGTTCATGTATAGTCATTAAAAGCACAGAAGTGGAAGTTTTCTTTAGGAGAATGTATATATTTGACCAAAAGATAAAAGAACCCAGAATGGGGCTCCAGGAAGCATAACATATTAAAGAAGAATGGAAAAGGAGGCATCAGAAAAGAAAGATGAGAAAGCAATCAAAGACAGAGAATCAGGAGAGACTGACGTCCGAGAGATTAAAGGAACAAAACCCATTGAGATTAGCCAGTGGTGCCAGATGCCAAAGAGAGATCCAATTATTGTTTTAATTAGTTAAATATGGATGTGCAAGCCCAAACATGGATGCATGGGTACCTTTACTCCTGATTACAGACAGGATGAAACGCAAGAATACCGTGTGAATGGAGACTTGTGGATATTTGACCCTTGACCATACCTTCCAGTCCTGATGGCCTTCTGCAGTGTATCGGAGCTGATAGCAGGTCTCTTTGGCTGCCCAGGCTGATGGGTGCTGCCACTCCAACTCCAGTTGCCCACTGGAGACCTCTCTCCATTGAAAGTTTGGGGTAGGGATGAGCACTACAAGGACATCAGCAAGGACGAGCGTAAGCCCTTCTGTGCATGAGGCATCATGCCGCCAGGGCTGTGGATCACAAGTGCCAGAGTTGGGGATCCTGGGACTGGGAGCAAATTTGGTGGGGGTGAGAACTAGGTGAGAAGAGTGAGAAAGAAAGTTCTTACCAGCCTGGTGGATCCAGAAAGGGGAGCCCAGATAGCTGTGAGTAGCACCCTGGGCTGTGATCACCTCCACAAGAATGTGAATGACACTGTCATTTCGTGACTTGAAGTGGCAGTGAGAGAACTGGGGAGGCTGCTGTCCGGGCTTTGTTTTCTTTTCTTCACACTTCTCCCAGATAGGGTCCCTAAGAACAAGTCCCAGAGAGTCATTGAATAAGGCCTGTCTCAGATCCAATCCTGATATGGCCAGAGGCCTTCATGGATTGTAATCCTACTCCTACTTTAGATGAGCCTCTGAGTCTTTCTCTCTGTCGTCATGCTATGCTGTTTCATCTTTTGAAATCTACTTTGGTATTCGGCTACTTCCCCTTGAGAATGAATGATGCTTGGTTAATAGATGTATAATTTTGGACAGATTACTTAATTTCTCTCTGTCTACCTCAGAACATTACTTCAAGGCTTGAAAAATCCTTCATCTTTTAAGAGAAAAACAGCCAGATGTTTTTAATTTGTTCTTATACAATAGTTCTCCCATTAACTCTTATATGTTATGTCCCCGTCTGATGATTCCTACAGCTTCCTAACTGACTTTTTTGCATCCATTTTTGTGACGCTATAGTTTGTTCTTCACATTGTAACCAGAATTTGTTTCCAAACTTGTTAATCTGCTGGTGTCCTGAATATGTCATGAATCTGTCCTTTTATTTGGCTCTTTCTCACTACAACATTTGATGAAACCACCAGTATCTCTTTAGATTAAGGCAGATTCCCAAGTGGTGGTGATCCTGGTTGTGCTTTTACTTCTTCATGATTTTACAGAGAAACATACCTTTTAAAAATGTATATCATGTCATGTCACTCTGCTTAAAATTCTCTAATATCTAACATTATATCCCAGTGAGAATCAAATTCTCCTAATTTCTTTCTAAAGCCTCTACAAAGGTTGGTTCCTCCCTTCCTTGCTATGAGAATACATATCTACAGTTCTCATGCCAGTCTACTACTCTTCATCCACATGGAGCTTCTTTTGCTCCCGCCACTAAACCAAATGCATGCTTGTCTTTGCACTTTAGCTTACATTTGGACAGCTCTGACCCTAGATGGTATTAGCACACCTGTTATGTCTCTGATGAGATTTACCCTGGCAATTCAATCTCAATTATCACCTCTCCCTACTAGTCTCTGCCATATGTCATTCCTTTATTTCTGTATTTATTTCTTTCCTCTTACCCTCACTAAAAGGTAAGCAATAGTGCTGGAATTTCTCCTGTTGTCACTCTAGCCCCAATGGCACAGTGTCATCTTCAATAACTGTTAATTAAGAAATTAATCTTGAGTCCCTCCTGGTTATAGTCCTTAAGTGGTTTCTTATCAGTAAAAATGTGTAACTATGCCAGGCAATGTGTAAACCCTGGGAATACCTGGAGGGGTAATCTTCAAGGAGCTCTTACTTTGGTAGAAGTACCAGAAAAGCCTACTGATGACACTGCACTGTGATGTGTACAGTCTGGCTTGGGATCATCTAGAAGGGAGGTCAACCCCAGAATGAGAGGTCTACCTAGACTCAGTCCTAGATTAACAACAGGATAGTCTAAAGAGACAAATAAGCATTCCAGGTGCATGCTTGTGTATAGATAAGAGAGACTGGCCACGTTATACTGCTGACCTCTCCAATGGTTTGAAAGCATCAGTGACTCCAAAGGAGAAAGATGAACAGTCTCTTCCCATTAGAATTTACAAACCTGAAAATCTAATGTAGGGCCACTATGAATTGGAACTAAGTCAATGGCAGTAAGTTTTGAGTTTGAATGTATTCATGGCACCTCTGTACCAGGGACCTATATAGCTATTTAAAAGATTAAATTACTTATTTTGTAATTATCTTCAAAATATTTAAAGCAAAAACATATCTTAACAAATCCATACAAGGTGCAATTTATACTAAAAATGAAATATTTAATGTTGGTTTCAATTCACAGTGACTCCATATAACAGGTAGAACTTCCCTCAGGGTGTTATTTTTTTTTCCCTCAGTGGTAGCAAATAATCACATCTTTACTCTGTGGAGCTGCTGGCTGCAGTTTCAAACTTCAACTTTTTGGTGAGCAGCTGAGTGTGTAGTTATTGGCCTACCACTCAAAATCAAACTTATTGTCATCAAGTTGGAATCAGCCCATAGCTGGCCCTCCAGTGGATTTTCAGAGGCTATTAGATCGCATGTGAGGCGATCGCTTGTCTTTCTTCTGTGGAGTCACTGGATTTGAACTCCCAGAGAGGCCATGCCTTTGGGTTAGCAGTGCAGCGCCCTGTGAACTACACCCCCAGAGCTCCTTATTGCTCCCCCAGGGGTCCTTACTATAAATTATCATATATGAATAGCACACAAGGATGCTTAGGAAAAGGGGTAGAACATATTAAAATTACTAATTGTTGCTAGGTGCTGTCGAGTCAAGTACAACTCATAGCGACCCTATAAACAACACATCCGAACTTTGTCTTATCCTGTGCCATCCTCACAATCTCTGCCACACTCAAGCCCCTTACTGCAGTCACTGTGTCAATCCACCTGGTTGAATGTCGTCTTCTTCTTTGCTGTTCCTCCAAGCATGATATCCCTCTCCAAGGGAATAGCCTCTCCTAGCAATATGTCTAAGTATGTGAGACGAAGCTTTATCATCTTTGCCTCCTTGGCTGACGGCACCTTCTCCAAGACATATTAGTTCGTCTGTTAAGAGTATTCGTTTAATTATTTGTTAATTCAGATTTTTTTTAAAAAAAAACTGAGCACCAACTATGTACCAGGCACAGTTATAAGTAGGGTTATGTTGCTGAATTGAAATAGACATGACTTTGCCTTAATAGGGCAAAGATCAGATGACCTAGATCAGCCTTTCCCCACCAGAGAGACAAGAACTTTATTATCAATCCAAGAATCACATGAAGTAAGTGTACAATTGTAATGATAATAAGTACTTACAAAGGAAAAGTAATTGGCACAATAAAACTGGATAATAGAGCTATTTGACCCAGGGAGGGAGGTCTTCCTTGAGGAAGTGATGCTAAAGTTGAAATCTGAAGGATAAGTGGAGGAGGGAAGGGCTGGTAAGACAACCTGTGCAATGACCCAGACAAAGAAGGAATGACAGAAATGAGGGAACCAACGAAGCCTGTGGTTGCTACATAAACTGTAAAGGACACTAGGCTATAATATTAGGTTGAAGGTATAGGTAGGAATTCAGTCTTAGCTTTTTCTTCCTAAGAAAGCTACTGATTTTTGTTTGTTTGTTTTAGAAGATCACTTTGTGGAGAGGAGAATGATTTAGAGAATTCAAGAATTAATGTGTCTTTGCAGCAATCAGAGGGAAAGATGACAATGACTTGTACTAGGGTGATGTCAGTGGGTGACAAAAGTGAGTAGATTCTAGAGCTATTCAACAGTCAAAATCAATAGAACTTAACTGTTAGCTATGAAGACAGTGAAGGAGCAATAATGTATGTGACAGAGATTCTTGGAGGCCAAACTAAGTTTTGTTGGAATTGACAGATGAGAAATTGCAGTTTATATTTCAGTAGGGGAGGCCATACAAAGTTTGAGTTTTACCAAGTTCACGTAAAGTTTGAGTTTAACAAAGTTTGCTCTATCAGTAGCATCAGAACTAATGGGAGAGGAATGAGACTCTAGGCTGTTGCAATGAACCTAATGACATAATTAAGGCTGAATTAAACCAAGGCCTTCCCAAAGGAAATATAGAAGGAATGGGGAGCTAAAATAGATATTGAAGATGAGAAGATGGACTTTGAAGGCTAATAGTTTGGGGCAGAAGATCAAGGCTGTTTGGTCTAGAGTGAAGAGGAACAAGTTTGTTTTTTTTTCTTTTTGCAAGACTCTCTCCCATGAGATCAGGTTAGATTAGCAGGTCAGCTCTCACCTGTCACTGGGGCAACATCGAGCCCTGCTGTGGTAGAAGAAGGCTTGGGAGCTAGCATAGGCCTGTGGCTGCCACTGACAAGTAACATTCTTCAGGTCCAATGTGAAGCATCGCAGTCCAATTTCCACTGGGGTTAAATAAGAAAGTCCCATCAGGGAACATGTGCACCTCCTCTATGGAATATTCAGATCATTTTTTCCAACATCTAACCTAGAACATGCCCTGCTATATTCTGTTCTGTCCCTGAACACAACTCTTCCTTCCCAGTGGCAAGTTTGTGGCCATCAATAAAGACCATGGTTCCCAGAGACTCCATAACCAACCCAGGTACCCCCGTAGGGGTCTTTTCTATCTTTTTTCCATCTTCCTGCTTCATTGTTGACTCACCTGCATGCTTGGGCAGGTCTACAGTCACAGGGAAGGACCAGGATCCCCAAGAACCGTGGAGGGAGACCCCATCAGGCTGACTACGAAGTTGGAGCCAGTAGGAGTTACCAGGCTGAAGCCCTGAAATGAGGCAGCTTCCACTCATCATTGTCAGAGACAGAGCCTTGGGAGAAGAATCCCAGCCTCAGAATCTGAGCCTGCTTTTCAGCCAAGATAGCCTTCATCTCTTATGTCTGAAGCTCACAGCAACCCTGTGGAGAGAATCTCAGCTCCTCACTAGAGAGGTATGCACAGACTGGGGACAAACAGATTAATTTGGGCTTATAATGCCTGATATCCAGGGCATTTTAGGGACGTTTACGTTCATTTAGAGGCCATTCATTCAGTCTGAATGGCCCAGTGTGAGAGATCCTAAATAGAGATAGCTCCTGGGAGTTATTTATAGCCTGTACTAATTCCTCAAGAGCCAACTCATTCTGAGGTTGTTGTTGTTGTTAGGTGTTATGGAGTCAAATACAACCCACAGAGACCCTATGAACAACAGATCTGAACTCTATCCTATCCTGTGCCATCTTCACATTTCCTGACACATTAAAGCCCATTGTGGCAGTCACTGTGTCTATCCATCTGATCTAGGGTCTTCTCTTTTGCTGACACTCTACCTTTCTGAGAATCGTGTCTATTTATCCTCATTTCAACTGACTTCTAGTATGGGTTCTTCCACTATACTACTATAACTATCCCTGTTCCTCTACTGTTCTTAGGGTTTTCAGAGGCCTATTAAGAAGTGGATGCTCAATCCTGCATGCTAGTCTGTCTTATCTGGGAGCTCTATTTAAAACTTGTCCACCATGGGTAACCCTTATGGCATTTGACATACCAGTGGCATAACTTTGAGTATCACAGCAACCCACAAGTTATCACAGTACAGCAAACTGACAGACAAGTGCTGTACCAAAGTAAACCCATTCTGTCCTGTGAAAAATTGGGGAGAGAGAATAGGATATGGGACAGAAGATTGAAATACTTCTCTAGTCGGAGAGGTCAGCTCTGATCCATCCTGTTGGAATATTGTTGACCAAGCACATGGGGGTTGTTCCAGAGCTAGTGCGGGGTTTGGTCTCTGCAGAGCTGGGCAACAGGTTTCTGCGGAGAGCAGCTGCATGACTGTAGATCCAGTGGAGTTCCTGGGGTCCTTAAGGCCATAGCGGAGCTCATGTCTCAGGAAATCACTGATCCCAGGAGCTGGGGCCTCCCAACTGATCTGAAGTTCCCCTGGCTGGCTCCCGCCCCTGGCCTTGATGTTACTTGGGGGAGCTGGTAGGCCTGAGGGCAAGACAAGGCACATCAGTACTCTACAAGTACAGTATGATTCACGCCATGGACTGTGGAGGGAGTAGTAGAGGCCGGATTAGTGATAGCCTCTGGTTTCAAAAAGGTCACAGATCATGACCTTCTGGAGGCTGAGACAGAGAGTCTTCATGTTCTGTTCTTCCCTCACAAGAAAAATGACCTCAGTGCACCTAATGGCTTGTTAGACTTGGTGCTTCATAAAAGCAGAGGTTTCTTTTCGTGTTTGCATTTTTCTCATCTAGCAAAATTCCTGGCACATAATAGGTCTTGAAGATCTATTGACTGAATGAGTGAATGAGTTTATTAAAGAGAAGAGATCCTAGGCTGTCTGGTATAAAATGGCTTACAAAAGAAATCTACCTCTGGATGTCAAGACAAGGAGGAATGGTGGGGCTCTTGACTTGTCTCTGGGGGCTGGTAATGGGACACATCCATGTTGTCCTCAAAGAACATAATCCAGTTGGATTCTGGGAATAGATAGGGGTGAGGAGACTAAATGTAGAGGTCAGGGGAACAGGCTCTTACCCACACTATCCACAAAGAGCACCCGCTGGGTCAGATTCTGGTTCAGGAACACATTCTTCACCCAAAGGCGCAGTGGGAAAAAGAGGCGTACTTCATCCTGGGCTGGAAACTTGCACACATATCGCCTTCCAAAAGGGGGCACACTCTGGGAAATCAGGGGGCAGGCTCGGGGCTTCTCCCTGTTGACATAGGGGAGAGATCCTACCTACACAACCATGGCACTCTGCTGTACCGACCTAGCTGTGTGCTCCTGCCCAACTTTTATTTCAATTACTGTCATTTTTCTTCTCAGTCATTTTTTTTTCTCTCACAGATACCTGTGAGAGGTCTCATCAGGGGCTATCACTAGAGGCTTGAATTGGTGTTCACACACAACCAAAGCACATCTTTTTGTGAAGTGGCTACTTAGATGGAAAATATTAATGTGGGACTCAGCTAAAGTGAGTACAAGGGTAGACATACGGACAGTAGGGTATAGCCCAACACTTACCCTGGGTAGGCATATAGTAGCTGGTAGGTGATGTTGGGTGCTGCCTCTTCCTCATCCCAGAAGCAAGTGAGATCCTCAAATGTTTGGGAGAAACAGTTCAGGAGCTCCGAGTCCACAGCCAGCAAGGAGACATCTGGGAAACAACCAGTGAGCTGGGCTCTAGGTGCTCTTGGGCATGCTCAGGACCAGGAGGAGGGGACCAAAGGGAGCTTCCTACTCCACACATCCTCCCAGAGATCCCCCTTCTTGGCTGTTGGTGATCACCACCCTCTACACACCTCACCTTGACTGGTGACTTGCGCCAGGTTTTGGGGAGCCAGGAGGAGGCAGGAGGTGACTGTGAAGAGAGCCCACGAGGGCATCTTCTCCGGCACTATGTGCCTGCCTTAGCCCATCCTCCCCTCAGGAAGCCGGGCCCCAGTCCCCTCCCGAGCCAGCCCCTCAGGTTCCTGTCAGATACAGCCCCACGTCCTGTCCCTGTCCCTGCCCCTGTGGGGCCCATCCAGACCACACTGGGGCCAGGGGCCAGGGACCAGGGGAGAGGGAGTAAGCAGAAGGCTAGGAGGAATTTGAAAGGGAGAGCATGGACCTTTTGGTGGGAAGGAGATGGAGATTACTTTTCTGGCCATGCACAAAAGGAAGAGACTAAACCTCTATGTGTGTCTATATTGACTTACAAGGCTATAATATCAACAAGAATTGCAACATATAATGAGCACTTTATATGCTTCCTGCACTAATGCCTTTTAATTTATAGACTGCCAAAAGAACAAATGTCTTGAAGAAAGGGCAGCCAAGGTGCTCCTTGGATACAAGGATGGCAAAGCTTTGTCTCACATATTTTGACATGTTAGGAGGGGCTGGTCCTTGGAAAAGGCCATCAGCTTGGAAATGATGGAGGGTCAGTGTAAGGGAGGAAGCCCATCAATGAGGTGGATTAACACAGTGACTGTAACAATGGGCTCAAGTATATCAGAGATGATGAGAACGGAAAGGACAGGGATCTGTTCAGATCCGTTGTTTATTGGGTTACCATGAGTCACAGTCAACTTGAAGGCACCTAACAACAATTCTACTCAGTTAATCCTCATAAAAGTCCAACCACTTTCATTATTGTTGCTGTTGTTGACTGCTGTCAAGTTGAGCATGACTCATAGTGGCCGTATGAACGAAAGACCTGAACCCTGTTCTACAGCTATTGTCATTTCTCTATGTTCACAGAGACATGTGGTTTAGGAAGTGGATGCCACTCCTGCTTCCAGACCTGAATCAATCTAGGAGCTCTACCACAAACACTGTCCATGACGGGTAACCATTATGACATTTGATATACCAGTGGCACAGCGTTCAGCATGACAGCAGCCCCAAACTTTCATCACAGAGATGAGAAAACGGAGATGTAGAGAAGTTAAAGCTTTTTCCAAGATCACATACCTATGCAGGAGTGGCATCCACTTCCTAACAATATGCCTCTGGAAACTCTATGAACTTTAAGAAAGATAATTATAGAAAGGTTTCAGGTCTTTTGTTCATAGGGTTGCTATGAGCTGTGCTCAACTTGATGGCAGTCAACAACAACAACAACACATACCTATATTGAAAGGTAAAGTGAAAGGAGGTCAAATATCAGAACTCAAGTGCATAATACTGATGTTATGCTGATAGAATGTGTCATGTGACAAGACAGTTGATTGACTATGGCAAAATTATAGGTATTTCCACTTTAACATGTTCTGTAACTTTGTACATAAACAGACACATTCACTCTGAGAGAGGATTTGCCTCCTTCATTGTGACTTATTTCCACAGCTGCTTCCAGTTGCTTGCTGTTCAAAGTGTGGTTCATAGACTGGAAGTTGCAGAATTACCTGAAAATGTATTAGAAATGCATTTTAGAAATACAGAACCTTAGGACCCACATCAAACCTACTAAATCAGAATTTGTATTTTAACAAAATCCTTAGATGTTTCAAATGCACATTAAATTTAGAGAAGTGCTGGCCTTCAGTCCTTTTATCTGGTTTGCTCTGAACCAGGGACAGGTTGGCCTAAGCTCTCAGCCTATGTTCACCTTCGTATTAGTGACAGAATAGTGAGTGTGACCGCTCTTCTGCACCCCGACTTTCTGTGCTTTTCTGTAGCTTTGGGTGGCTTCTTAGCCAATTCAGGAGTTTTGTCTCACAGGGAGTGTGCACAACCACGTTAACCCCCACATTTAGTCTGCTGGGCCTCAGCTGGGGCTCTTGTGGCTGGCTTTACATTTTGTGTCCTTAATACTATTTTTCTCTCTTCCTCTTTCTAAATTAATTTTACCAACAGAGAGAATGAGAAGAGGATTTTTTTTAATGGGGGTGGGGGGAGGTAAGAGATGGAAATTCTTCAGTCCTCTTGTGAAGTCTTCATTTTTTCACTGACATAATTTTTTTCCAAGAAGTCCCTGCTTCAGGCTTGTCTAGAGGTTGGTTACAAGGGCCAGTTTCTTTGTAAATGGTAGTGCTCTAACCCTCCCTGAATCAAGGACCACCAACCTCTTCTCCGATCATATAAGAGAGGGAAAAACAACTTTAATGTTCATGCAATCTCAGAACTCTGGAAGCTATACATCTGCCGATGATTTCAAAACTAGTATCTCCAGCTGTGACCTGTCCCTGGGGCCCCAGATGTAGACAGACAGCTGCCTACTTGACTTCCATTTGCATATGTAATAGTAATTTTATACTTCAGATCCCCAAACTAAAACTCTTGATTTTGGTTCCCAAACCAGGTTGTTTTTCCTTAAGTCTTGCTTATCTCTGTAAATGGAACCACCATCCATCTCTTCAGTTGTTTAAACCAAAATTTTTAGTACGCCTAGTTTTCCCATTTTGTCTTACCCTACATTCAGTTCATTAGCAAGCCAGATTTTCTTTAAATGTGCCCTGGATCCAAACACTTTTTTTTTTTAATTTTTTTTTCTTTTTCAAACACTTTTTAACACTTCCACTGCTACCATCCCAGTCTAAGTTTGGGATCCTGCAAAAGCCTTCTATGTTCTATCCCTGCCTGTGCTCTCACCCTCTTTTATCCATGTGAGATTTTTAACATGTAAATAGAATTTTCCCCCAGTCCTCTGTTGTTATTGTTGTTAAGTGCTGTCGAGTCATAGGTGACTCATAGTGACCCTATGAATGAAACACATGAACACGTGTATAACTTTCATCATATCTTCGCATTCATAGGGTTTCCGGAGGCAAGTTATTTCGGAAGTGAATGTCACTCCTGCTTCCAAGTCTGTTTTAATCAGGGAGCTCCACCAAACACTGTCCACCATGGGTAACCATTATAAATATTTGACACTTCAGGGTCACAGTGTTCAGCATCACAGCAACCACGAGTTATACCTCTGCACAGCAAATGGTCAGACCAGTGCTATACCACTTAGAAGAATGTTTGACCAAAACCAATTAAAGCCAGGTCTGAGGGCTGCAGATTAAAATCACACCTTTGGCTTGGTAGCAGCACTTTCTGTCACTAGACCAACTAAGCTCTCTCTATGTTGTTAAGTGTCGTCGAGTTGTAGTTTGCCAATCCTCTATTTCTCTAAATTATTGAGGAATAATGATGTCAGTTTGAAGACTAAGGTGTGTCTGACTCAGGTCATAGTCTTTCCTAGTACTTGCTAGCCTCTGAGAACTGGACAATGAAAAAGGAGGACAGAAAAATCCTTTGTGCTGTGGTGTTGGAGAAGAGCCGAACATCCCATGGACGGCTAAGAGAACAAACAGGTATGTTTTAGAGAGGGTGCAGCTGGAGTGCTTTTTGGAGGCAAAGATGACAAGGCTTCACTTCACGTACTATGTTGCTAGGAGAAGGACAGGATGCTGAGAAGGTGGAGGGCTGGTGAATGGAGAGGAATACCCCCAATCAGGTGAACTGATGTGGTAACTTCTGCAATGGGCTCTTGTGTGTCAGGAAGTGTGAGGATGGCACAGGATAGAACAGGGTTCAGATCTTTTGTTCATAGGGTTCCTATGATAAGTCATGCTTGACTTGATGACATCTAACAACAACAACAACTATTTGAAATGTTCCAACAAATGTTTTTGGTGCACTTAAAATCTAAATGCCACCTAATAGCATTCAAGGTCATTTTTGATATAACATCTGCCTAGTTGTTAGGTGCCATCGAGCCAAGTATGACTCATTATGAACAACAGACCAGAACCCTGTCCTGTCTTGTGATGTCCTCATTGTCTTTGACACACTTAAGCCCATTGCTGAGTCATTGCGTGAGTTCATCTCATTGGGAGTCTTCCTCTCTTTTACTGACCCTCCATCTTTCCGAGCATGATGTCCCTCTCCAAGGAATAGCCTCTCCTAGCAACATGTCCAAAATATGAAAGCCAAAGCCTCACCATCCTTGCCTCCAAAGAGTGGTTTGGCTGTACTTTTCCCAAAAAATATTTATTTCTTCTTTTGGCAGTCCATAGGATATTCAGTTATTGTTAAGTGCTGCCAAGTCACTTGCAACATATAGTGACCCTATGTATAGCAGCTCTGAAGCCTGCCCTGCCCTGAGCCAGTCTCACTAATTCTGACACACCAACCTCCATTGCCCCAGTCACTGTATCAATCCATCTCATCTGGAGTCTTCCTCTCCTGAGCTGTCTCTTTACCTTTCTGAGCATGATGTCCTTCTCTAAAGACTGGTCCCACCTGACCATGTGCCCAAAGTATATGAGATGGAGCTTCAACATCCTAGTGCCCAAAGAGAAACTTGGCTTCACTCTCTCCAAGACAGACCTATTTTGTTTTCTTAGTTGTCCATAGAGTTCCAGACTCTTCTCCAGCACCACAACTCAAAGACATCAATTCTTCTATCATCCTTAGTCATTGTCCAGCTCTCTGATGCATAGCAAGTAATTAATTGTGAAGACCATGGTCTGGATTAGGTGCACCTTAGTCTCTAAACTGACATCGTTGCTTTCCAGTACTCTGGAGAGGTCCCTGACAGCAGATTTCCCCCATGTTCTTCTTCATTTCTACAACTCAAAGGCATCAGTTCTTCTTCTGTAATCGTTATTCATTATCCAGCTCTTATGCAGGTGATTGAAAAGACCTTGCCCTGAATCAGGCACACCTTCATCTTGAAACACACATCATTACCCTTCAGTATTTTGCAGAAGTCCCTGACAGTGGACTTGCCCAATGTATCACATCTTTTGATCTCCTGTCTGGATAATACCAAGGATATTGATTTTTGATCCAAGCAAGATGAAATAATTGACAACTTACTGTTGGCCCTGTGGTCAGGACCTTTGTTTTCTTGATGTTGTTATTAACAGCTTATCTTCTATCACTTTCTTCTTCCCCCTCTACCAGC